GATGTGGTAAGCCAATCTTGAATAAGAGGCCCACCGGGATAAAAGCCTCAAGCACAATATCAAGCCCTCTGGACAACAATACCCTCAAGGACCAAGACAAGCCCCCTCTGGAATATTCAACCAACCTGCAACACCATGGATGTCACAAGACCAAGCCCCCAGGACAGAAGACACTCTGGATTCCCATTTCACTTCTTTATTACATAATCATCTCATGCAGTCTTACATCATCAATCCCCATTCAGCCTTCCACATTTGGCCTCTGCATGTGTTTCACTCTAATCCACTTTCACTCTAGTCTCATTTCCACTTTGGGCCACATTTCACTGTTTCACACTATTCTACATTGGTTATTCTGATGTCTCATACTAGTACACATTTGGCTAGTTCATTCAACTCTTTGGTATATTCTTCCTCCGTCATTGGTTGTGGCACATTTCATCCCTGCATGTCTCTGATGTCATTTTCCCCATTTATCTTAGTGCCTACCAATTGGGCCACATTGTCTCAGTTTGATATTTTTCACTCTTCCATTTTGTTCCATCCGCATTCCACCCACAAGCTGGCCACTCCCCAGAATCTTGTATATAAGGAGCCTTGTTTTTCATGTTCATTTGTTCCCCATCAGATCCTGACCCAGAAATCCAGATAACTGATCACCCATTACTAGCCAGGTATATGCCCATCAACATTTGGGATACCTTGATTTGTGAACAAGTATATTTTGACCAGTAGACATAAGACATATTAGACATACCTTACTCAAGAAATCTCCATAGCCACACCTATTCTTCAAGAGTCCATACTCTTGTTCTTTTCTTGTTACCTTACTCATCCTAGTTCCAGAGAGGCAGCCCAATAAAGCACTATTCCCTCTCAAGCTCTATTCATCCCAAAGAGTAGTCCCACAACGTGTAATAAAAATATAAACAAGCTAGAATATTCTTGAATATACTACAGTAACTATGTACATTCCATCTTCCAGTTTGTAGCACGTTTAATAAGCCCCAGAAACCAGTTCTGGCATATTCTGTGGCCCATTTCCAAGGAAATAGCTCCACGTAACAGAGTAGCCCCTATCCACAGGTTCCCATGGGAAATTCTTGGCTTTAATAATTTCGTGCATGACCCCTTGGAGCTTCTGGAATATTATCCCCAAGGTTCCAGCCCTGGTTACATCACCATGTGGGCCAAAATGGGCCCAAAAGCGCCCCCAAGTCCTACTAAGCTCCCCTGAGCAACCCCTGAGGCCTTCCACAGGTATTTAAAGGGCCTTCTGACCGCCCAAATAATGATCCCCCAGCTTTACAATACCATATAGAAACATACTTACCATTTACAAGTCCCCTACACTTGTAATTAGCCTAGTTACTACTATTATTGCTGTTATTAAAGCCTCAAAATTCCTCAAGAAACTCAACAGTTACCACCCAGCACCCAAAATCAACCTTTCTGAGCGCTCCCAACTGTCCAGTTTCCACTTTGAAGATACTCAAGACCCCATAGGATTATTACTAGTAAGTAATAACCCTTTTCTTGAGATTTTCCCCTAAAATTCTTCCTGGGATTTAAACCACACCTGTTCACAGGCCCCAGTGTTCCAGGTACCTAAATCCTCTGCTTTTGCACGATACCTTAGAGGGATTAAACCACCCCTGATTCATCAGGCCCCTCTGGTTTTATCTATATTAATTTTATTAATATAAATTGGCCATTTTTTCCTATTAATTAAATCCATAAATTCCTTTGTTTTATTGGAATTTATTCCTTTAAAATTAAAACCAAAAATCTACAAGCTTTTTGTTTACTTTTGCACCACGTGTAGCTAGAAGATTTTACATCTTGGCATCACGTAGGCTGACAGGTATACTACAACGTATCAATCTACTAATGAATCTGTTACAACTTCAGGTTAATAATGGAAACTGTGGTGCTGATGACTTGAGCACGAAACAGATGAGTTGTTATAGAGTTTGTTAATGATCTCTTCCTCGAACAATTTCTTGCTAAGGCACTTTAATCAAAAACTAGAGCTCCGGTACTAATACTACTACTACTTGTTATGGGTTAATTGTTAATGTACTACTACTTATATGATGACTAATACTACTAATATGCTTCAAATTCCGAAATCTTTGTTGGTTTCACGCTTACAATACTGTACTAATTCACTACTTATCACTAACTCACTCACTACTTTAACTACTAACTAACTATGACCAACTTACCGCTGTAGGTTGATGTACTAACTTCACTAACTAACTAACTATCACTAATTCCAACTCTTCACTTTACTGACACTCCGGAACACTTCCAGTAGCTCAGGACCAACTTACTGCTCTGCGAGACTTCTGTAGGCTGATGGGGAGAGGCCCTTCTTTTATATTGAAGAGTGAGGGATTTCTGCTGCAGGGAACTCCTTGTGAGGGAATATTTCTGCAGGGGATCTCACCTTCACAGCCTTTGCGCACAGCCTCCAAACAAATAGCGCAGCTTATGCTGTGCTAGGAACACTTAACTCCAGACCTTGTCACATAATATGCATGCAAGGGAGCACAAAAGCGCAGCATGATGTCATGCATTGCCAGGCAACCAAGCCGTCTTCTAGAACATTCTGCATAGGCAGTACCAGCCTGCCAGACCTGCTGTTATCTC